GATAGATAGATAGATAGATAGATAGATAGATAGATAGATAGATGTAATAGAAAGATGGAGGAGAGCCACTAAGAGGATTAGAGAGCTGGTGGCTAAAAACTATATGAAGAACGGTTGCAGAATTTGGGTTTGGCTAGTCTGAAAAAAAGAAGAAGAATTAGGGGTGACATGATAGCAGGATTGGAAGGGCTGCCCCAAAGAAGAGGGGGGGAGTCTAATTATTTTCCAAAGTAACAGAAGGGCAGGACAAGAAGCAACAGATGGATGCTAATCCAGGAGAGGAGCAACCTGGAATTAAGCAGAAACTGCCTAACAGGAAGGACAATAAACCAGTGGAACTGCTTGCCACAAGAAGTGGTGGGTGTGCTTCATCACTGGAGGCTTGTAAGAAGAGACTGGACAGCCACTTGTCTAAAATGGTCTAGGGTCTCCTGCTTAAACCAGGGGGCTGGACTAGAAGACCTCCCGGGTCCCTTCCAGCTCTCTTCGGATTGACCGATCGATCAGAAAACCCACTGCAAATGATGGAGAGGTATTTGTAGCAACGGTACATGAGAGCAAAGGGCTGCCCTGATTGGAGAGTTATCCCCGTGTCTTTTTGCACAGATGTGGACGAGTGTGACGGGAATCACCGGTGTCAGCATGGGTGTCAGAACGTGCTCGGTGGATACCGCTGTGGCTGCCCCCAAGGCTACATCCAGCACTACCAGTGGAACCAGTGCGTGGGTGAGTAGATCTGGGGGGCGCCTTGGAGTACTGTGGCTATACTCCTTGTTCTTCCTTGTCTCGGTGGCGTGATTGGGCTCCAGCAGGATGGACCTCGTAAGGCCTGAAACATGGGTTTTGTAGTATTCATACGTTCAATGGCCTTCCTTGTCTCGGAGTCTTCATTGGGCTCCAGCAGGATGGACCTCGTAAGGCTTGAAACATGGGTTTTGTAGTATTCATACACTCAATGGCCTTCCTTGTCTCGGAGGCTTCATTGGGCTCCAGCAGGATGGACCTCGTAAGGCTTGAAACATGGGCTTTGTAGTATTCATACACTCTATGGCCTTCCTTGTCTCGGAGGCTTCATTGGGCTCCAGCAGGATGGACCTCGTAAGGCTTGAAACATGGGCTTTGTAGTATTCATACACTCAATGGCCTTCCTTGTCTCGGAGGCTTCATTGGGCTCCAGCAGGATGGACCTCGTAAGGCTTGAAACATGGGCTTTGTGGCACTGGATAATTTCAATGAGCCAAATGATCACTGGAACTACCTGTTCGCTCAAACCGGTCCAAACCGGTAGAATCCCACCCCAGCTTTAGGGACAGTTGGGAAACTCACCCGCTGGTAAGTAGCCCCCCCCCCTCCTCTTCTCTCCCCAGATGAGAACGAGTGCTCCAGCTCCGCGGTCTGCGGTTCGGCCTCTTGTTACAACACCCTGGGAAGCTTCAAGTGCGTCTGTCCGTCCGGCTTCGACTTCGACCAAGCCCTGGGGGGCTGCCAGGATGTGAACGAGTGCGCAGCCGGAGGGAGCCCCTGCAGCTACGGATGCTCCAACACTGAGGGGGGCTACCTCTGCGGCTGCCCCACCGGCTATTTCCGGGCAGGGCAAGGGTAAGCGTCTCCCTTTCTCCCCCCCCCCCCCCATCGCGTCTCCGTAGGGCAGTTGTGAGAGAGCAGGGCGCGTGGCGTGGCGGCCTAAGAGGCGGAGCTCTCGCTTCACAATCAGGAGGCTGTGGATTCGATCCTAGGTAGAGGCAGATATTTCTCTTTCTGGGCATGAACATATCTGCCGAATAAAACTCCGCACTGGCAACAGGAAGGGCATCCGGCCAGTCAACACTCCGCTCCATTCAGTTGCCCAGACTCCACCCCGATGCAAGGAATTAACGGGGGTCATTAAAAGACACACACACACACACAAACATATTGTGAGAGAGCAGACCAGTTGTGACTATGTAGGGATTCTAGGCTGATCGCTTGTTTAACTCCACCTCCAGTTTCTGCCGATCCTTCTCCAACGAGACAAACCCCCTCAATGCTTTCAAGATCCCCACCCCCGATTCATGTTCTTATACCCCTCCCCCCCTTCCCCAGGCACTGTGTCTCAGGACTGGGGTTCGCCAAGGAGAGCTATTTCCCGGCCCCCCCAGAAGAGGACGAAGAGAACCTGTTGTCTCCGGAGGCCTGTTACGAATGCAAGATCAACGGATACCCCAAGAGGGGTCGCCAGCGGCGCAGCGTGAATGGCACCCAAGGCCACCAGGTATGTCCTCAGACCAGAGGGGGACCCCCCTCCAAAAACAGGAGGGCTGCTTTCAAATGATTTCTCCCCCACCCTCCTCATTCTTAGGATTTACATTCTTGTCGTTTTATTTTCTCCCGCTTTTTCTACATCGTTGCTCATCTAAACAAGGCGCCTCCGCGGAGGGACAAAAAAAAAAAAAAACCTCAGGGTGGCTGTGAATGAAACCCCCTACCCTTTTTTAACCCACATACTCCCCTCACCCATAAAAAAGAGGGAAGGGCTTGGATCAGGGAGTGGGGAGGGATCCTTTTGGACCTCGCTGGGGAGTGCTCGTCGCGTTCTTCCGTTCGGTTCACTGAATTCTCGTTCCTCTTTCTCAAGAGATGTGACATTTCATCTTAAGAGCCCTCATGAGACGTGTCCGTCACCTAATCCATTTCTTTCCCCCTCCTTCATTGCCATTTTGTTCAGATCCAGCTAGTTCCTCGCTTACTGACCGCAACCGAGGCCAGCAACTCAGGCGTCGAATGGTGCAATCGTGAAATGAAATGTGACAGGCCGGCCAGACTTAAGGACATCCATCCTGGATGAGATAGGATAGGATAGGATGGTGATAAACAGATAATCAGAGTTGGAAGGGACCTTGTAGGTCATCTAGTCCAACCCCCCTCTGCCCAAGCGGGAGACCCTGCACCATTTCTGACAAAGGGCAGTCCAGTCTCTTCTTGAAAGTCTCAACTGATGGCACTCCCACAACTTCCAAAGGCAACTTCTGTTCCACTGGTTGATTATTCTCACTGTCAGAAAGTTTCTCCTTGTTTCCAGGTTGAATCTCTCCTTGGCCAGTTTCCATCCATTATTCCTTGTCCGGCCTTCAGATGCCTTGGAGAATAGCTTGACTCCTTCCTCCTCTCTGGGGCAGCCCCTCAAATATTGGAAGACTGCTCTCCTGTCTCCCCTGGTCCTTCTCTCCACTAGACTAGCCAGGCCCGGTTCCTGCAACCGTTCTTCATATGTTTTAGCCTCCAGTCCCCTAATCATCCTGGTGGCTCTTCTCTGCACTTTTTATTTTATTTATTTATTTATTTTTATTTATTTGATTTGTCAATTGTTTACAAGATAATAAGTACAAGTGTATACATAGTTGTGAATATATGAAATGGGCACATATAAGAAAAATAAAAGAATAAGAGAAACAATAGGACAGGGACGGTAGGCACGTTGGTGCGCTTATGCACGCCCCCTTTTCTAGAGTCTCAACATCTTTTTAATTGTGTGGTGACCAAAACTGGATGCAGGACTCTAGGTGTGGCCTTACTAAGGCTTTATAGAGTGGTATTAATACTTCCCTTGATCTCGATTGTATCCCTCTGTTAATGCAATTTAGGATTGCGTTGGCTTTTTTAGCTGCTGCTGCACATGTCTGGCTCCTATTTAGCTGGTTGTCCACTAAGACTCCAAGATCCCTCTCCCAGTTCCTGCTATTGAGCCTGGTTTCACCCAATCTATATGTGTCCTTTTGGTTTTTCTTGCCTAAGTGTAGGACTTTCCTTTTCTCTACGTTGAATTTCATTTTTGTTGAGGTAATTCCCCGTTAGGAGAATGAGCGCATACAGGGAGACGTATTTGAGAGAAGTGTTTGAATAATACACACACAGTACACAGATACACTGTACAGTAAATGTAGGTTTTTACTTTCAGAAAGTTTAAGCAAAGTTCAAAATAGGCAGTCCAAAGTCATTCACAGGTAAATCAGTCAGTTTTTCAATCCAGGGATAATTCAGTAACAAAGTCCAGTGTCAAAAATAATTCAGTATCAGACTTACATTAAATCCAGAAATATCAGTCAATTAGGAAAAATGGAGGAAGAGCAATACTTTCCAACAGAAAGAAACAGAGACTGAGACACTATTAAGACTAAGACTAAGATTAAGACTAAGACAATCCAGGTTTCTGGCTCCATCTTATGGCCGTTTGAAAAACCACACCCAATTGCAGTTTTTGCAATCTCTTAAAGACATAGTAATAAAATGTTTATCCTGGTCTATATATTTCTAACCCAAATACCTGTTAGGTGACTCATATTACTAATAATTTTGTTAGATACGGACCAGTGTTCAAGTCTGTCAAGATCCCTCTGGATCTTGAGCCTATCTTCTTGGGTGTTAGCTATAAGACGAGGTGAGATGAGGTGAGAAAAGACAAGAAGAGATGATGAGATGAGATGAGATGAGAAGAGGATAAGATAAGATATAAGATAAGATGATAAGATAAGATAAGATGATAAGAATCATTAGGTAAGATAAGATAAGGTAAGATAAGATAAGGTAAGATAAGATAAGGTAAGGTAAGATAAGGTAAGGTAAGATAAGATGATAAGATAAGATAAGATAATGGTTGCTGAATAAAGTTGGTAAATGAGGACTATCTGTAGAAGGAAGTTTCAGTCAATCAGAACAGAACTGGAAGGGACCTTGGAGGTCTTCTAGTCCAACCCCTTGCTCAAGCAGGAGACCCTATAGCATTTCAGACAAACAGTTGTCCAGCCTGTTCCTTACTAAAGCTTTATAAAGCGTCCTGGAAGCTTTCAAGAAGAGACTGGGCTGCCCTCTGTCAGAAAGGGTGTAGGGTCTCCTGCTTGGGTGGGGGGTTGGACTAGATGACCTACAGGATCCCTTCCAACTCTGTTAATCTGTTAAACAGTGCAGGATCTCCTGCTTGGGCGGAGGGTTGGACTAGAAGACCTTCAGGCTCCCTTTCAACGTTGGCTGATCTGTCTCTGTCCCAAAGCCGATTATGAAGACCTAGAACTGTCCTGGGCCCAAGAGGGAGCCTTGTGGTTTCCCACCACTCACTCCCCAGTGCTCCCAAGCCTTTGTCCTGGCTAAAAAGCCCCCCCCAAAAAAAGAAACCCTTGACCATCTGACCCTCTCCCCCTTTCTTCCCTGTGGCAGGATCCAGGGCTGAGCTTGGGCAGCATCGATGTGGAGGCGCCCCTGGTGTTCGCTTTGAATCTTTCGGACCTGGGCCGGAAGGCGCACATCCTGGAGCTCCTCCCCGCCGTGGCGCCCCTGGAGAACCACATCCGCTACGTCATTGCACAGGGCAACAGCGACGGGCACTTCCGCATCCGGGAGAAAGAGGGCCTGAGCTACCTCCACGTGGGCCGCAAGCCGGCCACCCCCGGGACCTACTTGCTGGAGATTGTCAGCGTGGCCATGTCCCGCCTGCGAGAACTGCCGAAACCGGAGGCCGCCAAGGACTTCGACTCTGTGGCCGGAGAGACAGGCCAAGCCCTGAAGATGAAGCTGCAACTTCACCTCTTTTAGGCCCCTTCTCAGAGACCCCAGACCCGGGCCCAGGCGGAAACACGCTCCCTTTCGACCCTCCTCCTCCGCCTCCTGCTCTTCCAGCGTCCGCCCTCTGCCACCCGGGGGGAGGGGGCTCGAAGGACCCCCATCCCCCCGCTGTTGATCCCAGCCCAGCCTTTGGGTACCTCTGGCCCCCTCCTCAACAAGGGCCTCCTCTCCGTCCAGCTGCCTCCTAGCCACCGAGGACAGCGATGGCAAACCTTTTCGGCATCGAGCGCCCAAACTGGGACACGGGTGCGAGGGAACACCTGTGCACAGGACGGAGCACTGGAAACCGAAGACCAGCCGGCCAGTGCGCCTGCCCACAAAGAGAGCTCTGTGTGCCACCTCTGGCCCGCATGCCACCGGTTCGCCATCATGGACCTAGGAGAAGTCCAGAGGGCCGCTCCGATGACCCTCCGGCCGTGTCTCTCCGCCTTCTCCCTTCGGTGGCGTCCCTCGCTTGTCCTGTGTGCTCCCACCCCACCCCACTCCCCTTCGAAATCCGCTCGCTTCCATGGCTAACACATGCTAGGAGTGAATTGGGACCGGCACGAAATGGCTGGCGTGGAAGACGGGCATCCCGAGGCCAAACCAAAGAAAAAAAACAACAACCACGACCTCCCATGTGTTTCCTCTTCGCCCAGGTCGCACACCGCGTGCCTTGAACCCAGGACAGCCAGGCCTGCTTCGTTGTCCTCTGAGGCAGAGGAGCCTGCCATCCTGTGCCCAGGGTCCTCCCCCCGCAGCTAAGATGGCCTCGGTTGAGCGTGCCAATGGAAGCGTGCCTCTTTCCGTCCGCCGTGTGTTATTTACCAAAGAAGCTTCCCTCGTGCAGTCGCCATCTTGACTTTTTTTTGACCCCACCCCCCACTTCCCTGCAGACTTCCGCCGTTTTCAAACACCCCCCAAATCCCTGGGTTTGATACGGGGATCTCTGCCGAACGAGCGTCGATGCCTGCTCCGTTTTACGCCGATGCCCAAGCCTGGAGTCCGCTAACCGAGCTGTGTGTGCGCGCCCTCAAACATTTC